GTACTGGACGACAGGAATGAGAACTAACCCTGGAGCAACAAATTCAGCAAGGAAAATGGGTCAAAGAACAGATGTTTAGAGGACGACAGAGAGCAGTGTTACAGGTAACCAGGTCAGCAGGCAGGAACCCTGATTAGAGTTAACTGAACTCCATTTCCCTTTCATAATCAAAATACTTGAAAATCTAATTTATAACACCAGCCAATTGCAATAAAAATTACTTAAAAAGCTGTAGCAGCTTTCAGTTGTGAAAGCAATAAGATTTCATTATACTAAGCCAGTTGAAAATCATCTTGATGGGAAAAGACTGCTAAATTCCCAATATGCATGTATTAAAATGACAATTAGCAATTTAAATAATTAAACATACTGATAAAATGAGCTCATCTATTTTGGGTTGATTATTCATTGGCTGTTAAAAGATGTCTTCCTGAAGAGAGACAAGACAAGCATGCCCTATATTTAACACGACAAAAGTTAAAGTTTTAAGCCTTCACACAGTATGCCTGCAGCAGGGCTGCAAGCCTAACCTGGCTCTAAGCTGAACAGCACAGGGGTTGCAAAGATATTTATGCTGGTATCGCACTGCAGCGTAGATAGGAACAGTAGAGCTGAATGAGCTCAGGGGCACTACGGCATGGACAGGGGCACTACGGCATGGACATAGCTGTTTATTGCTGGATTCTGGCTGGCACTTTCCCAGTGGCGTGCCTCGCATCATGTGGATGTAGCTGTTTGGACGGGGAATCTGGCAGATGTACCCATATAATGGGCGTTACAGTAATCCCTACTTGTGCACTATTTGGGAATTAACACAATTAACAAACTTAAGTGTCTACAAAACCCCAATTTGAATATTAGTAGAAAAGAAAAAAAAAAACACATTGGAAAGAACACTTTGTTAGGAATTACTGAATTAAAGAAGAGTCAAGCTAAGGTATATGCAGTGATTACTAACCAACTATGGTGACTATCTGGCTTTAATTTTACATTTTTTAAAATGAGTTCACACATGCTTCCAATTGCAGGGAAGGTTTTGTTTCCTCCCCCCTTCCTCCTAAATAGCTTGCACTTGCTAGTCTAATCACAGACCATATGAAGAGAAGGACCTAACCTCAGGCAGGATCACTACATTGATGTCTTTCTCACAGATGTTTGTCTAACCTGTTCTTAAAGGCCTGGAAGTGTGGAGACTCCACAGCAGCTTGTTCCACTGCTTTATCATCTCCATCATAATTCTTTGCCTCTCAAAGTCTAACTCTGCAGCCTGTGATAAGATTTGGGATAATTATCTTTTGCCCTATAAAACTGATGCATGGCACAAGCCCATTCCTCTTTACACCTCTCCTTTTACGTAGCTGAATAATTACAACCTCAGCTCGTATTTTCTTTCAGTTCAACAACAAGAATTGCTTCACAGTCTTTCCTTGTCGGTCCCACTTTAAAGACCTATTTTTCTCTTTATTCTCATCTGGACTTTTCACATTGAATCATGTGTTTAGGTGTGATACTGAAAGCTTCACACAAACTAAGGATGATAGACGCAGGTTTACTGTCTTCCTGTTTGGATATTCTCAGTAAGATGCTTGCCTTTCTCATAACAACTCGCTACTTGTTGACTTCTACCTAACTCATTATCTCTGTGTTTCTCCTGCTTTTTAAGAGCTACCACTAGCCAGTTGTTTGGCATCTTTTATTTGTGAACTTGGTTGTCATCTTGCTGTGTGTCCTTGCATATATTGTCTTTTTAATTTCAACCTATTCTTTTTGCATCTTATTTTTCTAATTTGTCCTGATCTTTCTGAATTCTACTCATCTTCCAATATGCTTTCAGTTCCTCTTAGCTTTGTAAGATTTACACGTGCTCACCAGGTTCTGGGGTATTGAAGTCATGTTCTAGCAAAATCAAGGAAGAATTTTCCAAACTGAACAAATCTCTCTGGAAATGAGTCAGACACACAAAGTTTTTGGGCCTTCTTTATATATGAAAAAGCAGTATTAAAGCTCCAAGCATTAGAAACTTTGCTTCATACTGTTCCAAAACTCATTAACATAATGCCAGGAGGAAAATTCAGAAATATATTAAAAAAGCTCCAAAACAAATAAACCCACAAAACTAAGTTAAAACAACACTATGAAGATGAAAAGTTCACAAAAGCCAACACTCTCCTCAAGTCACTTCATCCTGTTACAAATTGCCAGTGGAAAGGAAAATACAGTTCCATGTAGGAATTTACTTCCTAAAAAAGGGAAGGCGTTTAAGACAATTTAAAATGGAATTTCTTTGGAGTGGTTAGAGGCAGGGAATTTAAACGATGTTCTTCTGGGGTATATGAATGGTTTCAGCTTAGTCTTTAAAAAGCATTGAAATATTTTTCTAACCTTTTTTTCCTGAGGAAGAAGGTTTTGAGACAGAAACAACGATGGAGAGATGATTTTGGAGTAGATTACTTTGAACTGCTTTTATTAACACCTATTGAGCTAACCCACTATTAAAAAGGGTTTGAATGCTTAAGATCACACAGAAACAAGCACACTGTACCTTGTCAATCCTTTCTGCTATAGTTCTCCAACTGTGAAAGGAAAACCAAGCCTTACTGCTCTTGATACTTTACAGGAGAAGAAACAAGCAGAAAGTAGTCTCAAGTTTTAAAAAACAATTTCCTGTGTCACAGAAAATGTCAGAAAAACAAATTCAAATTTGCCTTGAATATTTTTCTTTTTTAAGATCTAGTGCCAGGTCTATTTGCCAGATAATACACAGACTATTTCAAAACAGCACCTCACACCCCAAAACTTACCTCCCTGCACCTCTCGCAGTGGAAAAAGGCAACAGTTGTTTGGGCAGCAAACACTGCCTGCACATGCAAACACCTATTTTTCTGTGCACAAAGTATAACAAAACCAGATTTTTTTTCCTGCAGCTTTAGTGTAACATTTCTTATTCAACTATGGTGATGCCCAAGCAAAGCAAGAATCCTTGCTGTAAATTTAGATGCTATTCTATGTCACATTCAACAAACACAAAGGATAAGCTGTACATCTTTTTCAATAGCTGAATGAATATATTCGAAGTAGTTCCCAGTTTCAACATTTCTGATACTGATGCAATAACAGTTTGAAATCCAGAGAAGTTTCCAGGAAGCTTTTGATTTAAAACCTAATCACTGTAACTCTGTGCAATCCAATGATAAAAGCAGCAGAAACTCACTAGTAAGTAATCTGTGTCAGGAAAGTTGCCCTAGCATTATCAGCAGTGGGAAATTTTTAGAGAGGCAAAAACTTGTGTGGAGAACACTTACATTAATCATATAGTTAGAGGTCATTGGAAGTAAAAGGATTACACTCAGACCTTTCTCTACACATAAACACCCCTGAAAATTCCTTTTTCCTACAAGAAAATGACAGCTCTTAGAACATACGCTTTCTTTCATTTCTCTTTTCAATTCACTGAAGAGCACGTTGCTCAAGACTTCTCACCTAAAGGAAGACGCAAACGAGCTTTGGTTTTTATTTCCAGTACTGGAGGTGTGCAAGTATGGTGGCCAAATATATTATGCAAAGGATTGTTAATAAAGAATGTTTTTACGCCTGGTTCAAGGAATCAAGCAGAAAATGGGTTCAAAAAGCAGTGTTAAGATAGTGTTACTTTTGTGATGGGCATACGTGGAAGCATTCTACATGTCTGTATCATCAGTAACAAGTAAATTTTTATTTTCCAAAGCAATCTCAAAAGATCTTTCCCATGCACACTGCATACTACCTAGCCATGTGAAATGTTTTTGCTATTAATATCTGCTTAGCAAACTGTAGCATATTTTTAATAAAGTTACTCCACTTCAGTAGTATGAATATTTCAGGAGTATGATAAACAATACTAAACAGAATAAATAAAAAAATAATTTCATTTGCATAGGAGGTTAGTAACTTCTTGCTTACATTCACTTATTTGCAAATAATGTGTTGTTCTAAAATGGTAAGAATGAAAAAGGCTTATTTTCTAGTATAGGTGAGGAACAAAACTGTATAGATGTATTAAATCTTTAAAAATAACTTCTAAAAACATCTTTTTGTGATTATATCAACAGGGAAAAAAACCACTTAAGTAGTATGCAAATTGCCCAGAAGGCTATAATGGGTTGGGTTTCACTCTAGCCAGAGGCTTTCTTCCCCATTATTTAAGATAATTCCTGAAATACAATAAATAAAGAACATCTAATCTCAAAAGGTACATCAACAGATTTAAACATTATTCTCATTAACCCCTCCAGAGCCTATAAAACAGGGTCAGCTGAAAAGGCTTTCAAATGGTCCTCAGCAGACACTACATCATGTTCTAGTGATGTATCGCTTGAAAAGGAAAGGTCTTTTACAGCCTAGCCCCTAAGGGTTTTAAGATCATAACACTTAAAAACCGTAAGTACAAGCTTTCTTTGATATCTGGTACAATACTATAAAATATGAATTAACAAGGATATTAATCATTTTACACAGTATCATTATTAACCAGGCTATAATCAAGAAAAGGGGACTGAAATAGTATCTTATGTATAATCCGTTTTAAAGTTTGTAAAGATATTTCAGTTTAATTAATGGAAACCACCTGTCTAAACACCATTAGCTCATCTACATTTTTTTAAGGACTGGCTTGAAACAGGAATACAATCTTTAACTAAGTCACACAAACATTCGCTCACAGTGAAAGGAGGTTGCTTCAAAACCCGAAGCGCATTGTTTTTCTGTGATTGGGTTACAGTAGCTCACGTCTGTAAGCACCAGAATCCCCCATCCAGCTGATCAGCTACAGCTGTTAATTGTGGAGGGAGAGACTGGCTGACATCTGCTTCTCGCAGAGTTAGTTAATGGTTCACTTCCAGGTCTTAAAAGGATTGTAGCCTCTCTCAAAAGACAATGTCGGCCCCATATACGTCTGCCTTCTACACTGGCTGTCTTGTTCTGGTTTGTCACTCGCCACACAATGCAAATCCGAGTGAACTCACATCTGCCACTGATCGACCCAACTCGTGAGCAATCTTTTCCCATCGACCTGGGGTCCCCCCTGGGAACTTAACCATACTTCTTGTCAGCTGGCCGAGGTCCTCCTCTGTCCATTCAGGTGCCTGTAAAACATTTGTAAAACATTCATTACACTGGGATACTGGACGTATTTTTGTGAGGTAATATACTGAAAAAAATCTTCAAACGATTTAATCAAATCGTGTAAAAGAAAAATTTAATAGTTTCAAGTATCTGGCTACCATGTCCCTGTGCTGTTGCTGAAAACGCCTAAAAACAACAGAGCAACACTAAGATATTAAAAATCCTTAACACTCAAAAAATGAATTTTGTATATTATGTACACTGACACATTTAATTTCTATACAATATATGTAACACTATAAAATGCAGTAAAGATAAAAAGCAACATTACTATTGAAGATTAAATCACAGTTTAAGATGCAAAAGTTTAGACATTTGTTTAGACTCACATGCAATATTTTTTCAGCAAAGACAAAGAAATTTTTACATCTTAAAAAAAGAATCCTCAATAAAACAGAACGGTCACTTTAGCTTTTCCTCACTGTAATCATGCTATATTTTATCATTCTGGAATGGTTCAGGAATGAAATCTGTTGATTCTCATGTTCCATTAAGACTATGAAACAACACCCCCCTCCCCCACAAAACACGGTTGTGCCACAAAACCAAACCGGATGCTTCCGCCACCCAATAACCAAACACTATAAAATGTTTTGCTCTAACTGCGTAAGACAGCCTGTTCAAAATAACTGTCTTTGTAACGGCCAAATAAAAGGGAGCAAAGCAAGGAACACGCAATTAGAGCAGTTTAAGGCAGGAAATCTCGCTCGCCTGGGAAGGCAAGATGCAGTAACCATCTTTGGCATCCATCCGCAGCATCTTTGGCACCGGCTGCAGAGCTGAATCTTTGTTACTGTCGGTAGTTGGCCATTTTATTTATTTTTTAAGGAATTCTTTATGACATACCTCTTCTAATCACCATTTCCGATAATGAACAGGCACATATCAAGCAGTTTGCATTACAGAGCCATCAGCACAGAACAACAGTCAGAGGTGAGTGACCCCAGGGACCATCTCCACAACTACAGCAAAGCTTCTCCCTGACACTAATCCTGCCTGTCATTCTCCCACTGCGCTCTAACCACACTGACATCCGCTTGCCGCACTGCCAGCTTAACGGGGCCCTGCCTGACTTTTTACTGTCTCCCCCAATCAATGGTTCAAGCGTGCTCTTTTCACCATGTCCAAATGGCAGCTTCACTCATAATCAAAGTGCATTGCTCCTGTTAAAGGGCTTCCCGAAAGGCTCCACCATTTGCATTCATTTGCAAAGCAAACTACTTTTATTCACTTTGTTCTGCTATCAAGAGTGTTCCCTGAAGCAGATAAATTGGCATAAATACAACCTGCCACTTAAAAGACAGTAAATAATAGCCAATAGTAGCAAGGATTTCATCAATCGTCCTAGTTTGGATCCATGTATCCTTTATTCAATGCTGAAAGCCTCACACATTCATATTCGGATAGTTTTTAACACAAGTATAAAATGAATTATCTATGACCACTCCAACGCGAGACACTTCAGTAACGCGCCTGTGTGGGAGAGATCCTGCACATACGTTACATGCCTTACCACGCAATTACACTCGGGCCTACAGAAGAAATTATAAATACTCAGAAAATCTCCACATTACACAATACTCCTTACTTTCATTGTATTAAACAAATTAATATACTCTGCATGTTTATTTATTGTATTATACTCCATATATATTTTTTATGCTGAAATATTTCTCAGATTTTTTAGAAGGGAAGATTCGGGGTATTTAACATTCTAATTCTAAAAAGGGTCATCACTGTAATTTAAATAAGGAATTCTTCTAAGATTTTTAGTTAAAAGCCTTTTGTTCAAAAATTAGTCAAATTCCATTCCTCAAAATTAGCCTTAATATGCAGTTTACTGTAATTTTCCATTTAATTTGTATTAAAACTTTGTGTTGTTTGCAGTGTTGTTTTTTTTGTTGTGCTTTTTTTTTTTTAGGGGGAGTATTTATTGTTGGTTTGGGATTTTTTTTAAGTAAATTCACAGCAAAGTAAAAAAATTTTAAGTAAAAAAAAAATTTTAAGTAAATTTCTTACCATATCCAAAGCATATCTAAGTAATTACATACGGAAATCAAGACCATCTTTTCAGTGACATACACACGTCAGAAGCTTTCTGCTAAGTTTTATTTTCAGAGTATTTCGGTAAGCTTTGATTTTCCTATGTGCTCAAAACTTTACTAACCATTTGTAAATATTGCAGAAGTCATATTGTTATGTTCTTAAATAATGGACAAAACTACAATAATTCTGTAGTTCTGTAGCTAATTATCTAGTTAATTCACAGCACAAGAATTCATGAGCTACATTAAAATACCACCTTGTTAATTTTATTTCAATCTGACAGTAATTTTAGAATGCGAAGACCTAAAACATTCATAAATTTGGAAAATCTTTGAAAAAGCTTTTAGAAAATCCACTCTCAACCGCTAAAGCTGTAAAGAGCTTTTGTGAATTTGCAATTCCTCAGCAACAGTTAATTGTGTCTTTAGATGCAACAGCGCCTACTGTGATCCAACTACTACAAGCAGCTATGAGGGTGGTCATGGTGTGAATGTATTCTCCCTGTTCTAATCTGCAGCCAACTGTAACTGCAAGAGTCAAATGAATGCACAAACATACTGCTTTGTCACCTAAAACCATGTGTGTCCAATATTACTGAAACACTGGGCCAAAATTCATCTCTATAGTAAAGCAATGGAAGACACCACATGGTGAGGGGACAGCTGTTGTTACTACACAAGCATTCAGATTTTGCATCAAAAAAGCCCCGTTCTGGGATTAACTCCCCATACTGAATACAAAATTAAAAGTACAGAGTTATGGTCTACAGTCTTTAAAATCAAAATAAACTACAAGCATAGATATAAAAAATTCATAGCATTCCCATAAACAATAATCCTTTAACATGGTTTATCATGCATAGCTGGCAATATTGAAGGATTAGTTCACCCAAACCACTATGCACCTTCTCTAGAAAAGAAATATGAATGTGCTTTATTGTTTATCATCACTCTTACATGTGTATCTGCACTTAGCAATTCCCTACCACCTCTTCCAGTATGACAGTTTTACACTATTAGGATTTTTTTTAAAATACGAGCAACTCTATTTTCAATCACATTAAAAGCAAACTTTTAGACAACAAAGCATTTCTTTTCAGGAAAACACTCTGACTTGTTTAGACCTGTTAGCATTAATAAGTATAAAACTACACCCTTTTATTGACAAAATTGGGAAGTGGCTAGTATTGGAGACTTCATAAAGAAACTTTAAAAGTTTTTTTTATTGACTTGACAATATGAGATAATTGGATCTTTTTAGATTAAATATTAGCTTTAGACTGTTTCTTCCTGTCATCAATATACTGTAGACTGAATTAAAATCACTGTTGTATGAAGTTTGGATAATGTTTCAATCTGGTTAGGACTTTGTGCTATGCCTCATCTAATTTTGGTGCTTCACTGATTTGAGCATGTCTAGTCCATGATCTTGCAAATAGACTATGAGGCAGCACTTATTTAAAAATACCTGTTCAAATGTTTATAGAACAAAGGTCCTAGTAAAATCCCAGACAGTTTTGCAACTCAGGATATGTTTAACCTAGAAGGCAGCGGTGTTTCTATCTAGTAACTGTAAGAACAGAATGTAGAAGTATTCCTGATTAAATTTCTTGCCTGTAATGTCTTGTTTTTCTTCCACTATTCTCCCATATCCTTACAATTTCATGCTTTACTTCCAAGAAGTTGAAGTCAGTCAAGTCTAATACACATCTGGCATTGTGATTCAGCCCTGGCTGAACACCAAGGATCTGCTACAGTTCTAAAGATCTCCTGTGAAGCTCTAAAGATCCACTAAAGGGTATTAAGGATCTGAACTCATATGCAAAGCCACAATATGTTCAGGTAACCCTTTGTTCCTTCAAAGCCATTACTCAAATCCCATTTTTTTCCATCAGTACAATTTTTATTAATTGAGCCAACAAAACCAATGGTCAAGGTAGCCCACTAAGCTCATCATTTGTGCTTAGGGAGTGCAGCTGCAGCAAACTTTACTACATACTTTGTGGTAACAAGGAGGACTGTATCATTCATCCTTTCCAGTCCCACTCTGCTGTGAAAAAAACAGGAGCCATATGCAGATACTGAGAGTAAGAGGAAGGCAAGCATATGGGTTACTTGCATTTCCTCACATATTATCCCTAACTCCAATTATTTTCAGCTCAAGGAATTTCTCTAAGCTGAGATATTTTATCTATTTAGTAACCCTTAATGAAATCTCTCTTTAAATGTTTTTTACAGTCTCCTCTGAAACTATGTAAACTTTCTGGATTTGCAACATCATCTTCATGAGGAGTTGCACACATCTGCTACCCATTATACAAGGAACCACCTTATTTTGTCTGTTTTGAACCTGGCTCCTTCTTGCTTTGATGACACCTAGCTCTTGGCTTTGAGTGAAGAACCAGCACATAGTCCATGTTTACTGACTTCCATGTCACTTAAAACTTTGTTCAAGATTTCTCTCTGCAGTATTCCCCTCTAAGTTGCCTCTTCCTGACTGAAGAGTCCCAGTCTAGTCAGCTGGTTTCTCATGTAAAAGCCATTTTATGAATAACACTGCCCACGATGCCTTTTTCTAAACCAATTCCATGATAACTAGCCTCTGAAATGAGGTGCCAAATTGCACACAGCAGCATTAATCATAAGTTTATACAGTGCAATAAAGATTCTTCTGTTTTGCTTTCTATTCGGTTCATAACATTTTCTAAAATTCACATTGTTTTTTGAATGATACTGAGCTGATGTTTTCAATGGATCAACACTGATAACTCCAAAGATCAGGAGGACTTCCCTTTATAGAAGCAATGTTCAGGACTCCATGCAGGCCATATTTACCTGGTGCTCACTAATTTTATCCCTTATTTCAGTTTTTGATGGTTTTCCCTAAAGAGATGTCAGATGTACAGGCCTGTAAA